CAATGGCCATAAAAATTATTTATATTAATGATATCTCCAAAGGTCAATGAATTTTTCGCAGAAAAATAAATTATCAGAAATTGTGCCTGCCGTTCGGTGTGCTGCTCTGCGACGAAAACAAGCTTAAGAAATGGCAACATCGAACGGTGCACACTCGGTAAGTAATCCTACAATTTTTTGTTTATAGCATAGTTTATACAGATTATTCCCAAAAAATTATACGTGTTTTGGAAATGTTGAGTCAAATTATTCTAGAATCGATTAATTTTATTGAAGAAAACCTTTCAAACAGCTGTAGTCTGTAAACTGCACATGTGCTGGGCTGTTGATTGGCTCATGTATTTAAGGATTCCTACAATGCAAAATTCTTATAAAGTGGAACGTATCTACCGCATTATAGGGGGTCAACTGTATCAAGCAAATAGTACTAAAATCACTCTATTCGGCATTACCTGTGTTTAATAACAAAAAGAAATACATTCACAAGGATTTTCAACATTTACTAAAATGTCTTAAAATAATGAAAAACGAAAGAACATATGCTATAGTGTTAGTGTTAATATAAAGTGTTTTTTCGTTTTTATTATTTGAAGATATTTTAGTAAATGTTGAAAATCCTTGTGAGTATGTTTATAATAATAACATTATTATTTATTATTTGTTTAATGCAAGAAAAAGAAGCATCGGCTGTTCATGATCTTTATGAATTCTTAAAAAATGAATAATTTGAAATGCAGTTAAAACTTATTGAAATAATAATAATAATAACGTCATTATTATAATTTCCCAGCAAAAACTAGCCATTTATATGAATGGAAAATAATAATGGAAATTTTTTATTTCAAGTAATGTCTTCAAAGTTCTGAGATCTAATGACACATTACTTGTAAATAACCCATGATCTGGTTGTATTTCAGGCTTGTGAATTAGCTTGCCAATATCTGGAAATATCATCTCAGCTTTTAACTGCATTTGAAATTATTCATTTTTTTAAGAATTCATAAAATCTGTCTGGTTTTTGTGTCGTGTGTCCAAGTGAAGACCAAAAATATGTAGATTTTAAGAAAATTTGGCAAATTGTTACTAATTAATTATTTTTTTAATCATATAGCTAATTTTATAACTGACAAACAGAAAAGGAAAAGAGTAATGGACAATCATGGGCCCTAATCTTGATAAAAGAAAAATATCCAGTATTGATGAAATTAACTTAATGGAATTTATATTTAACATTCCTGCCAATAATTCATACATTAAAAGATTTTTTTCTGTTATGGATTTATTGTGGATGGATAAGTGAAACTGTTTGACAGCTGGTCACATTAAAGAGCACCTTCTAATTTGCAATAACTTAAAAATTAAATAGAATGACTTGTGGTATTATTAGGAAAAAAGCTTTCAGATGCAACATGGCAATATGAAATACAGGTTCAAAAAGAAATATAGTACTAAATATTGTTAACAAAGTTGTGTTTTTTCCCTATTATTTATTATAACAACAGTGCAATGTACAGTAGACCCCTTATAACGTGTAGATACATTCCACGTTATACGAATTTCATGTTGTAGGAATCCTTAAATACATGAGCCAATTGCAGCCCGACACGTGTGAAGTTTAAGGACTATGGCTGTTTGAAATGTTTTCTTCCATAAAATTAATTGATTCTAGACTAATTCCACTCAACATTTCCAAAACACGTATAATTTTTTGGGAATAATCCATATAAACTATGCTATAAACAAAAAATTGTAGTGTTACTTAACAAGTGTGCACCGTTCGACGACACCATTGCTTAAGCTTATTTTTGTCGTGGGGCAGCGCACCAAACGGCGGGTGCGATTTCTGATAAGTTATTTTTCTGCGAAACATTTGTTGACCTTTGGAGATATCATTAATATAAATAATTTTTATGGCCGTTGAATAAGAAATGTTTCTTTCACAAGAAATGTATAAAATTACAGTACTGTATTAGACTTGCAGTACCTAATTTACATACTGTACAGACGATAGTAAACTCAACTTACTTGTCTAAACTCTCCGTAGCATGGCGCTGGATGGCAGAAAGTATATATATAATTATAATAAAGTTAAAATAAATTAAGTTAATATATAATTATATATACAGTATCTAATTTATATATAATACTGTACAGACGACAGTAAACTCAACTTACTCGCCTAAACTCTCTGTAGCGTGTAAGTAGTTCGGCTGCTCATCTAATATTGGTCCAGATTCGACAATCCTGTCATGACATGAGTTGGCAACAATGTTTTACAAGTCCCTTTTAGCATCTTTATACGAATACTGTCGCAATTTTTTCGCCACGTTATAGGAACTCGCGTTATAGGGTGGTGTACTGTAGAGTAATAAAGTTATATAAAAATGAGCATTTTTAGAAATATACCTACTTATTTTTTACATTGTGTCTGGATTAACTGTTTCTAAAATGTCCAATGCTATCTGTTCTTGCTAGTTCATTTTCCATCACAGTCAGTATGCCATGTTGCTGACTAACTTGGATTTGTGTGTCTTTTGTTCTTTGAGTTAATCTATATCTATTGTATTATTTTTTCTGTGAGTTTACTGTTTTTTGTTTCATTTCTTTGACTTTTGACTGTTTATGAATAAGATTCACACAAAATGGAGAGAAAAAAATGTGTTTCTACATACATTTGAACTAAATACTTTCATACATTTGAACTAAAAATGGTTATTCTTTGAAAAATTGATACAGAAACACAAAGAAGTTGCATGGTCATTAAAATTATAAAGGCCCACAGTATCAATGATTGTGAAAAATAAAGACAAAATCAAAGGCTATGTAATGACTGCAGAACATATGCAGTCAATAATGATAAATATGAAACGTAGAAGACTTATTGAAGATATGGCTGGATGATCAAATTTGTAAATGTATTCTGCCAAGTCAGGCAATTATTTTCACAAAGACTAAAAGCCTTTATGGTGATTTAAAACAATAAAATGGAAAGATTAGTGATCAAACATCATTTTCTGCAAGTAATGGTTGATTCAATTGATTTAAGAAAACAGCTAACTTTTCTTAAATCTACATAAATCTTACATAATTTTAAACTGACAAGTGAATCTGCAAGTGTAGATATGGTATCTGCTTCAACTTTTATGGCTAAATTCTCCAAATTGATTGAAGAAGATGATTATTATTGTGCACAACAAATATTTAACATTGACGAAACTGGTCTGTTTTGGAAGAGGATGCCAGGTCATACATATATTGCTAACAAGAAAAAGAGTGCCCTCAGACATAAACCTTTGAAAGCTCGACTTACTTATTACTTGATGAAAACATATCAGGCAGCTTCAAATTAAACCTTGTACTTGTCTATCACTTAGAGAATCCAAGAGCCTTTAATGGGAAAAACAAGTCTTCTGTCAGTGATTTGGCAATCAAATAAAAATGTCTGGGTTACTGATATTGTTTTCCAAGAATGATTTTCAAAGGAATTTGTTCCATTGGTGAAAAGAGTATTTGAGAAAATGCAACTTAAGTGCATTTTACTTTTGGATAATGCACTAGGTCATCCTCAAAGCATTGGTGACATATTTCCACAATTTGAAGTGGTGTATTTTCCTTCAAATATGATCTCATTGCTTCAGCTGATGAACTAGATGGTAAATGCAACTTTTAAACATTACTATACATGCTGTTTAATGATGGATGCAATTTTTTCCATTGATTGTGACTGGGTCAACACCAAGGAACTTTTGGAATGGATACAATATTTAGCATGCTGTATTGAATATTAAAAAATCTTGGAATGAGGTCAAGGATTCTACAATGAATATATCATTGAGAAAGTTGTGTGTGCAATTTGTAACATATAATGAAGATGATATTGAAATTTCTGATATGATAATTACACAAGTGGTACAGCTGTGGAGGAGACTAAATTTAAAGATTGATGATATTGAACATCTAATTTAAACCCAGAAGGAAGAATTATTAAATGTAGAATTGATGGAGATACTATGTGAAGATGATATTTTAAGAATTACTGATGAAGAACAATACAACACCAGTCAAAACATTGGAAAATAAAGAGCTTATGTTAATTTTTAAGAAAAAGGAAGAACTTTTTTACTTATTAGAATATCATCTTGATCAACATAGGAGGACCACAGTAAGAAGGGGAATTTAGTNCCTATAAGATCATTGATTTTTCCGTTTTATCTGAATTACATGTTGTACGAGTCACTTAGATTTTACAAATATGTGAGCCGTTCACAGCCCGGCACACGTATTTGTAAAATCTAAGTGACTCATACAACATGTAATTCAGATAAAACGGAAAAATCAACGATCTTATAGGGGGGTCGACTGTAGTGCTCTTATCAAGTATTCAATATTAGCTACACTGTATTAACAGAGACATCAAATTCTTCTTTCTTTGCTGTAGAGAATCACATAATTTAACAAGAAAATACGTTGCAGAATGATGAGGTATGAAACCATTTTGATCATTGCTGAAAAGCTATCCATGAGATGAAACTTTCTGTACATAAAAAAAAATTGTTTGGGAAATGGCAATTTACTATACAACAATTCACATTTACACAATCTGGGGTATGCCATATTAGCAAATCTCGCTAATGTTGTATTATTCATATTTCTATTGGTGTCATATTTGTGCTCTTTAATTCTGAATGTAGAATTTCCATTTGTGTATCCAATGTACACTATCTTTGCTATTCATCTGTGCTGGAATAAGATACTAGTTTATTCTTCAAAACTAAATTACAGTGTAGTTAGCATATACTATTAATAAACTGTTTTTATTACAATATCTGAGAAATATAGCAATAGATTTTTTCTGTACCATGTTTTTTTATTAAAATAGTATAAATTGTTATATTAACAGAATGCTTACAATGTAATTTTTCGAAGAAATTAAATGAAACATTAATTGAAATTTCTCACTAAACAATTTTTTAATGCTGTGTTTTAATTCTGTGTTATAGATAGAAGTTCTTCAAGCAGAAGTTCAAGCATTAAAGACACTTGTTATTACTTCTACTCCAAGTATGCCTAACAGACATCTCCATCCTCAAATAGAAAAAAAAGGAAATGGAGTTCGATGCTTGTTTCAAAAAGGTCACAAAAGATATCCAAGCAATTACGAATTGGAGTCAGCTACTAAAGATACACCTCCAGACTCACCCATAAAAGAATTCGCCTCTTCGGATATAGAATGTGAAAATAATGAGGTAAAGTCATATCTTTTTAAGTTCTGAATAGTAATACAGTAAACTTTGTCTAAAACAGAAACCTGCCTAAATGGAATAAATTCTTTTTATGTTAAATTTCTGAGCTGGAAACCTGTCTAATGCAGAAACAACAGGTGTTTGGGTACAAAGAATGTAACAGTCTGGATAAAGTGGAAAAGTAAGAATTCACCTATAGACAAATAAATGAAATTGCTACCAGGTATAACATTTGCTGCAGAGCATGGAAAACTGTATTCCAACCTTATCAGAGAAATAAAAGTCATTTGATTAAAACAAAAGACACAAGATCTTTTGTTTAAGCCCACTACTGGGTTAGTAGATAAAGTCACTAAACATTGGCTGTCCATTTGGACTTTTATTCCACATTTTATTCACCTGCGTAATGCTTTAATAAAGGGTTGTTTCTCATAGAAAATCACCTTGGGAAGCATCACCCCTTTGATAGAGTGCCCTCATGTTCTGCTTTATCCCATAAAATTAAACTTTTGTTAATATTAGTCTTTGTTGAATTATTCAGAGACAGAATTGAGAACTTTCAAGTATCCTTTCAAGAATGTTTTATACATATATAAAAGAATCCAACAACAATATTTCACTAATTGCAAACTGCAGTATAATAGTTTTTCCCAGATGATAATTTAGGAATATGCTCATGATCCTAGGACCTTTAGTCAGTTCATTCTAAGATTTTTTTAATAAAAACTCAAACAAATAAATATAACATAAGTGATAATCAGATTTATACAACAACCAGCAGATGAGCCAGGCATTGCCCAGGCAAAAAACAACAACAAAGATTAAGATTATTAGGTTGTTTCATACTTCTAATCCTTCTATTCTAGTAGCCCAGGACGCCCTCTAGTGGATGTTCTAGCAGTAGTGGTATCATTCTGTGGTATAAATAATAAATTCCTATTACAAATAAAAATAATAATATACTGAATTTTCACGATGTCCATTTTTCATTCATGAGAGTACCATTTTCCAGTTTCTGGAAACTGGAAAATGTTGTGCTCATGAATGAAGAATGGATGATGGTTTTGGATTATAAGGCATTATACCCATCAATCAAACTTCCTCCATGTTTTTGTACCTTGAGAGATTTTTTATTCGCTAATGTTAACAATGCTACCAAATACCACATGCAGATTTTAGAGTTAGCAGACTTGATTTGTCACACATCTTTCTTTGAATTCAAGAATAAAACTTATCTACAGGGGTGTGGCATACTAATGGATAGCCCCATGTCATCGGTAATTTGCGAGTTGGTACTCCATAAACTGGATAACAGTATCCTCCCTTCGTTACAACAAGATATATTGATATATACAAGATATGTTGATGATATCTTTATTTTATGGAAGGACAATTGCAGCAGCAAGCATTTTATGGTTCTAATAAACAGTAACCCATATGGTTTAACCTTGGAATTGGAGCAGCAAAGTAGTAACAGTGTTAATTTCTTGGATCTGACTATAACATGTATAGAAGGGGAAATCCGAACCAATATATATCGTATACCATCATCTCTCCCCATCATTATCCCTAAGAATTTGGCGGATCCGGAGCATATCAAAATGGCGGTGTTTTGATCTTGGATAAGAAGGGCGCACATGCATTGCTCAAACGTTTGCGATACTGTTAAGGAATTACAGTAGAGTATAACGTCGATTATCCGACTCAATTGGGGACTGGGGTTGGTCGGATAATTGAAAAGTCGGATAACCGAAAAGTATGAAAAAATCCATTATTAGTGTAGTATATTATTATATCCCATGTAATTAGTATATTAGTATATCGCTATTAACCTACTTCGCGTTGAATTTTCATCGATG